ATTTCTCCATCTCTTTTATGGCACCCTTTCAAGTGTTTGAAGACCGCTATCATGTCACACATTTAATCTCCTCTTTCCAAACTAAACACACCCAGTTCCTTCAGCTTTTTATTCATATGATTGGTATTCCATACCTTGGATAAGCTTTGTCTGTCACCTTTGGATCTTTTCCAGTTTTTCTACATCCTTTCTGTCCACTGGTACCTGGAACTAGACACAAAACTGCAGCTGAGGCCAGACCTGTTCCGACTAGGAGAATACTATCACCTCCTATGACTTGCATGTTATGCCCCTGTTACTGAAACCCAAAACTGCATTTCTGTGGAGGGTTTGCAATAACAAAAAGAAATCCACAGCCATGAAAGATGGACCTATAGCAACCTAACCCCAGTGTAGACAGCATGAGATCAACATAAAATTCTTCCATCAACCTAGCTACCACCGGGAAACCCTTCTTGTTACCCTACATACCTGTAGAAACCCTTCTTGTTACCCTACACATACCTTGCTAGCTGAAATGCCAAGTTTTCTTTGGCCTTCCTGATTACACAGCTCTCCTCCCTGGGCTGATCCTCTGGCCCTTCTGGCTCTGGTCGGCACCGCTCCACTCCCAGCTCAGCCTGGGCCCCTTCTCTCTCCTTAGCAGTAGGAGTCCACAAAGAATAACAGGGAGTCTGGTTCATTTGCTACCAGTCACATTGAGTAGCAAGCATGATTGAGCATTGAATCTCCTGTGTTCCTTTCAACCTGCCCGGACCTGAAATGTGGCACCCAGAGGGTGGCAAAGACCCCTAATGAGGCACAGACAAATATTATCCATGCAGGGCACTCCAGATAGATTTGTAGATAATATGGCCACGAGGGACCCTGCTCTGACCTCCTGCATCACGCCGGCCATAGGGCTGCCCTTGATTAATTCCTTTTTGAACTAGAGCAGATCTTTGAGAACAAACATTCCATCTTGATTGTCAGTTGTCAAGGCTGTTCCCCACTCTGACACTTCGAGTGCAGAATGTGGGCGTCCGCAAGAGTCTTTAAAAGTACTTGCCACTAAAGGCTGCCTTAAAATGCCCCAAGGTTAAAGATTCCCTGGCCATGGACTGTTATCGCTGCCAACACCAAAATGCAAAAACCTCCCTGAGAATGCAGGAAAGTGCACTTGGGAATTCCTTCCTGGTGAGGTGCCCTCAAGCTCTTTTAATCCAACCCCTGGAGAGATCTTGAAGGAAAAAAAAAACCTTCTGTTTATACCAGGTAGGAAGTATGGAGCCCTAGTTCCTCTCAGTAATTGGGTTCAGTGGAATTAGACATGTTTACAGAGAACCTCCACCTTTAACTCCATCCTCTTTGGAACCCCCCTTCAGGTAGTTGAAAGTTGCTATCAAATCTCCCCTCACTCTTCTCTTCTGCAGACTAAATAAACCCTGTTCCCTCAGCCTCTCCTCGTAAGTCGTGCGCCCCAGACCCCTAATAATTTTCATTGTCCTCTGCTGGACTCTCTCTAATTTGTCTACTTTTAGACCATTGCAAGTTGTTTGATGTAGTTCAACATGCCATTCAGATTAACAAACTAGCACTAGACAATGTCATTAGAGCACTCATTAGATGGAGTGAGAACTGGCTAACTGATAGATCTCAGCAAGGAGACATCCATGGGGAATCATCATCCAGTGGGTTTTTTCTCATGGTTCACTAAGGTCCTTAAGATGCCAGGGAAGATAATGGAGCAAGTAATTAAGGAAATCATCTGCAAACACTTAGAAGGTGGTAAGGTGATAGGG